ATTAACTTTTTCTTTAACACTGATTTACTGTCTATATAATGTACACGGTGATTATAAGGAAACCACATATTTATAACAGTTACATCTTAACTACTTGTCCTAAGCGAAATAATTCGGGCACACTGAGAATCATTATCGTATTTAGAAAAGCTGGGGCATGACACATTTATTAATTTAATGTTACACAAAACAAATATGTTATAACAAGTTAGTTTTAAAAAATTACCACTAGTAATGAGAATAGGAGATGCTAAATAAATTATAACCATCATATATCTTCTTCCCTTGAATAACTAAAGAATCATTGGTGTTAAAATTGTAATTCAGCTAAACAAAGTTTGGTTTCATTGTTAACATTTTATTGGTAAGAAGTAAAATATTCTTATTAAAATTCAGACTTTAAAAACTAGAAAAAAATTCACTTTGTAATAAAATATTAACTCGCAAACCTAATGCTAGATGAGGCTCCATGCCGACCTGTCCATGTCGGAACACCCGTTTCTGCCCTAAGGCACTGTCGTTGTGATTGTTTGAGAGCCTTCAAGGCTTCTCGGGCAACCTTTTCTGCTTCTCCTTCAACCAACATGTAGTCTGGGTCCGAAGAATTCATGATTACATCATGTTGCATCACAGTTTGCAGACCTAGTTCAAAATATTTTAGTTAGCAAGAAAGCTGTACTGCATAAGTAGAAACATTAAACGTTTAATAATTTAAAAAATTATTATACATAACATCTTAAAAAACAAGAAATTTTCACATTCTAAACTGAAATCATGCAAACTGTATGCAATTTTACAATCACTACTTAAATTAGAAACCAGGTAAACTATTGGCAATTTGACATTCACAAATTAGATTCGAAAATGCATAAATCCACTCCAATGAATAAAATTTTTCCAATATGTACTTTCTGGCCTCACAATCCATTTTCAAGAGAAAAATTGTCTGTAACTTGAAAATACAGGTTTATTAGGTTCATTGGCCAGATAAATATCTGTTAAAATGGTGTTCTGATTATTTTCATTCACAAGCAACCAATTTTCCAACCTGAACCACTCATAAAATCATTGATAGCATTATCGACCTAACTGAAAGTATAAGTTAGTTTTAAGAACTACAAGAATAGCACAATGAAAGCTACTTGTGATTAAAGTGCTATCCATACTATAGTGGGTTGTGTCTGTTCATATGCCCATGACAAAAACATTCTAACTCCCCAACCTCTCATCACCAGGATACTTTCAGGTATGTTTCCATAACCCTCTTATATTATTCATTTAAAATATTTATGTGCATGAGAACGATCCATACTACGACAATGAAATAAATGTCGTGCCTCACTAGTACTTTTGCTAGTTTAATTATGATCATAAGACTACATAATACTAGTTCTTACCTGATAGCTTAACCCTTTCCAGACGGGTCAAAGGCCATGTCATTGCATTTGTTGATTCGTATTTAAAATTTTATTGAACTACTATTTCATAAATTTATGTCAATAAGTTTGGTATCAAGCTGCAGATTATAATTCAAATTTTAGAACTATACATTACTCAATTTCTTAATTTAAAAGTAAATATTAAAAAATCACAGTAAAACATCAATTTTTGTATGTCACGTGGTGTGTTGAATGCAGCACTGGTTCAAATTAGATGTTTGTGAAGTCAAAATACTAAGTCTATAGTTTCGAATTAGGAACTCATATTACCAGTACTGGAAAGCTAGAATATAAAATAAGAACCTCATACCTTTTTTATTTGCTGAAACATCACTCATATACTGAATCAAACACAGTGGCACCCCGTCCACCTCTTTCCATTTTTGGAAACGGTCTCTTATATACATTACTTCAATATATGACATGTGAATAACCAATTGAAAGCTCAGAATGTCCCCTAGTGGCTTTCTCAGCCATTTTAAAGTGTTTGGATGCCATCTCCTTCTTTGGAACTAAGATTTCAAGGAGGTAGGTTGTGTCTTTAGTCTGCTTGAAATTGCATATTTTTTAGACCAAAATACAACTTAGTTACTAAGCTTGATAAATTAGTGGAATTCTGTGGTATTGATGTGGTAATTTATAATTTTTTAGTTATTAAACTGTATATATAAACCTAAAAAAATTATTTTGTTTCATGTCCTCCACATGCAAAATTTTAAAAGGCTTAGCAACCTACGTCAAGCAGCAACCAAGTACAAAGGTCGTAACTAGAAGAGACAATTGTTTGCTTTACTTCTTTATTTACTGTTCTATGTTTTAAGAAAAATAAATTTAAGAACTTATTTCTAAATAGTAATAATCTATATACAAATATAATGTATAATAATTGAAATGTAACTGTATTTTACAAAATACTAGTCTACTAAAACACAGCCAAGACAGGTCATCTTGAAAAGACTGAAGGTCAGTTCTATATTATTGGATACAGTAACATGAGAGCATGTGCGTCATTGAAACTTCTTTATTGTTAGCCAGGTCAAGTCAATATAATAAAAATAATAAATATATATAAATGTATAATGTTATGAGATTTAAGCTATTTAGTCTAAACATTTATGTTTTCATGTTATACTTTGTTGTTATTCTAGAATGAAAGAGGAATAATTTATATTTATTTCCAAATTTTTTATGGTGGTTACAAGATCAGTCAAATCTATCAATCCCATACAGAGATTCGGTAGTGAAAATAACAGAAAAACATATAAAGTTTTTCTTAAGATTGATAATCTGGACATTATAAAGAGTTTGCGTATGAAATTTGAAAATTTTCTGATACATGAAATTAATTTTTAATCATAAAATGAAAAATTACTTTGCATGTTGGATAGTCAACATGCAAAAAGAAAAAAAAGGAACGAGAAAACATTGCTTAACAAACCTTAAGACTTAATAAGAAATTTAATATTTTGTGTATGAAAACATTGTAATGTTTACTGAGAATCTGCCAAATTTCGTTAACATACACCTACTAATTTAAAAGTTATAGCATGAAAACTATAACAAGCACAAAATGGTTACGAGGTTGGTCCCAGGGACCGAGCCCATGCTGAAAGAGTAAAAGAGTGTCTGTTTAATTATGAATGTGAGACTACATAATACTAGTTGTTACCTGATAACTTAAAGAGTTTCTTCAATACGTAGTCATCCTGCTTCAGGTGATGCTTATTATCAGCTTCACTTGGTACTGGTTTATAAACATCTTGCTTAACAAGAAAGTCTATTTTCTCTCCATCTACCACTATAGAAAAGGATATCAAATACTAGTCATTCATGTCCTTTGTTTTAGTTTGCAAAGTAAATAAATTGGAAAATGTACTCTCTTTTAACTAATCATAAGTCAAATCATAATGTGCTTTACAAAAGGATTATATTTAACAAACATTATAACCTTAGAGCTCAAAAAGTGAGGCTATTCATAATGCTTAAAAAAAACAAGACTTCTATCTGAATAAGTAATCGACACTTTCTTACGGAAAAGTATATTTTATAGATTTAATTGTGACATAAAAGTACCTCAGTTATACTCAAAACTTGCTTTCACTAAACGGTATGTACAAGTATTTCTTGTCAAAAATGCTACCATTAAAATTTAAATTATTATGTATATTTCAAACATAAAATTTCTAAAAAATAACAATAAATTAAAAGACAGGATTAAATTTCTAAAAACTGCATGATACTGCTAATGTAATGTTTGCGAGTTTTAAAAATATCTGTATTAATTTTACACTGCTATTTATGAACCAAACCACTGCTGTACTAAAATAGCTGATCTATCTTAAGACCTTGAATACATAAAGATAAGGCTTCAAATAATTTTGTATACAACATTAAAAACCCATTCTAAATATATTACTTACACAGGAAGTAAACTTCCAGCAAGTTCAATGTCTAGTTAACCCCAAACCTTCCTACCTTAAAAGTAAAATCACCAACTACTCTCAACATTTACTCACCAACACCTTTCCTCTTCTGTTTTCTTTTTTTCTTCTTACGTTCTTTTTTGCAGAGATTAGAGTCTGCGCTGGCCGAAAAATCCAACTGTAAACGTAAAGTTTCCTCATGCAATACACTACTCAAATTAGACTTCTCAATTAAAGGCTGTTTTTCTGCTTCTCCATTAGTTACAGCAAGTTCAGGTTTACTGTTAGCAATGCCACTAGAACTTTTTCCTATTAACTGGCTCAACTTCCTGGCTAACAGCTTCATCCTTTGAAGTTTTTCTGGACTAAGCAGTACAGTACTTTTCTCTTCTTTCTGCTTATCTATTGGACTTGGTTTAACCTTCAACTCTGTTAACACTGCACTATTACCAAAACTGTTTGTTAGAGCATTCTCGTCAGAACTTGATTTTATCAATGGCTCTTTATTCAAGCTAGGGGGGGTTTCAGTACTTTCCTCTTTTATTGGTTCATTTTGTTTAATGTCACTTCTCTTCACGAGCTCTTCTTTCCCATGTGGGTTAATATACTGAGATAGCTTTGATGATCTTGGAACTTTTACTTCTGAGCCAGTCCCAGCAAAAATTGCACTTGTTTCTGTCCCCTGCTTACCTTCCTCAGAAAACGTAAAAAGTTCAAACATGTCATTCGTTTTGAAGAACCGTCGCTGCCTGGGGTCCTTAAGGACACGATTGGTTAGAAATTGCTTGAAAATTTGTCTGAAAGATAACCCACCAATGTACATGAAACAATTTCCAACTAAATGGAAATAAATAGAGAAAGGGCTTGAAACAGGTTCCCATAGCAATAGCTAAACAATGTTTAGAGTAAGTTTTATGACCTGACATTCAATGCTATGAATGCTAATAATACAAAAACTATCATGAAAAATAAAAACAATACAGCAAAAACATATATTTACCACAACGTTGGTAACTTTACTAGCTTTCTAAAGGTATCTACACTGAGACTTCTGATATGTGCTCCTTTTAGAATTTGCTAAAATTTCCTTCACAGGGTCTAATACTCCAGTAAGTTAAACTCACTACAAAATATATAGCTCATCCATACATTTGTAATTTCTAAACCTACAAATTCTTTGCATGTAAGATGACCAACCACAACTAGTTTCTGAAAGATTTACTATTTATAAAGCTTACTCTTCTCTCAACTTCAAAATTGTTAATTATTTCAAATATACAAGTGATTAAACAAAGAGTATATTGTCCAAAGTTTTTTTTTTTTTTTACACATTTAACTTCATAAGTTTAACCTCATTATACTATTCAGATTTTTTAGTGTATTATACTGTTCAGATTTTTTTAAACATTAATCAATCCTCCAAAACCATTACAATGTTCTTACGTACCTGTGATAGATCTTCTCCTCTATAGTTCCTGAGGTGAGAAGACGATAAATTGTCACCTGTTTGTCCTGACCAATCCTCCAGGCACGCTCTCGAGCCTGAGTATCCGTACTTGGGTTCCAGTCAGGGTCATAGATTATAACCCTGTCAGCTCCAGTAAGGTTGACCCCAAGCCCTCCAACATGGGTGGTCAGCAAGAATACAAAAATATTTGGATCCTAAGAAAAAAAACGTTTGCTCTTAATTTTACAAAGTAACCAAAAACATCTATATTATGACAAAATATTTGAATCAGTCAGTAGATGAACCGTTTAAACAGAAACATTTTCTCCAAAAAAATTACATCTGGATCCACAGCTGAACTTTTACTTCAGGTTAACCTCACTGACCAGTGTTTTGTCATAAGTATTAACTCATGCTTGGAAATATCTTGGTAGAAGTACCCCATCTTGTTACTATTAAAACAATTCCCTCTCATGAAGACATCTTGAGTTTTTGCTGGAAAAATGTGATCTCACAATGCTTCAGAGCATTACCAAAATTGTTGGACACACACCATATATTTGCATGTGCATTTTGAATTTATGGGAAAGTTACTAAGGCTATTTACCACCATCCCTAGTTTGGACTACTGACCAGATGGAAGATAGCCAGTCAGCGACACCCTACTTACCGACTGTGTTATACTGGGGAGCAGTGTAAATATTCCTTGTAGTATACAAACTTTGATTTTCTCATTTGGTCAATAAACTTTTGAGGTAATTTCTAAAAACAATGCATCACAGATTTCTTAACCCTCAAAATACCAACTTGCTTTTATACCACTAAATACCAGTGGGGCCCACATCTTATATCTTATTTTTTTTACCTGTGTTTAGCACTTTTGGTCAAGACTAACCAAAAAACACTTTTTAATGTAAATGATCCCAGCAGTAATTAGTGTGGTAATGATTTTAAATGAAAGATTTCTTACAAATATCTGAAGGTTGACTTATGCTAACCTTTGCCCAACATCAAGATGCATATAAAATCAATATTTTATGTAAAAATAAAGTTTTATTTTATGAATAACTATAGCTACTTACCTTGAGAAATTAAACTCTTTCCAATTCAAATATTTAAAAAGTTAAAAAAGTAAAAGGCTCATTATTAAATACAGGGAAATGATTTAGAGAGAAATAAACATGTGATTAATTAGCTATTTTTTTCAATAGGTCTTTGAGTTGTGTTTAATAATCATACACGATTGTTGATGTTTCTCAGATGCTTTTTATTTTGGAAAATTTTGTGAAGAGCAGAGGCTACACATACATGACAATGGATGGTTCTACTCCCATAGCAACTCGACAGCCAGCCATCAACAAGTTCAACAATGTTAGTTCTCTTTCTTGACCTGTTGTTTGCTTACCTAGTGAGTCACATACAAGTTTGTGTGTGTGTGTAGAGATATTAGGAGTGAATGGCAGTTTATTATGAATGTAAACTTTTTGTGTTCAACAAAGGTCAATATTATAAGGGTTAACTAACTAGTTAGTTTTTTTTAAACTGTTGCTTGAAAAATGTTTGAAATTTTGAATATTAGGAAGCACGTGTTTAATACTGTAGCTGTATATATTCAGATGAGAAAAAGTTTTTGGACAAATTGTGATTTTATTTTAATTTCATTAGAATACTTTATGTAACAATTCTGTAAAAATAAACTTTCCAACTTAACTTTCTGAAATAATCCATTATTGTCTAGGTCATCTTGTTTCCATTATCGTCTAGGTCATCTGGATGATGAATTTTGTATTGTTGAATTTTTCTAGTTAATTAATGTTTTTGAAATGTTCAGTATAATTATAAAACTAGGCAAACCTGTTTGCTTTGGCTAAATAAAAGGACACGATGCCCTTGCTTGCTCCAGAGTTTCAAAAGAGCGTCCACTACAATCATTTTGCCTGACCTTTGTGGATATCCAAAAGTCATTTCCTCTGTTAAAGTTGAGACATCTGTATTCTTAAAAATCTTTGGTCCACCAGTGTACAGATCAGGATGATTACAGATCTTTCTTAAGTTGATCAAACCTACAAACACCTGAAGATTGAAATATACAGAATAAATATTTGAAACAAACAACAGACATATTTGTGTTAAGGAGTGAACATTGTTAGCTTCAAATAATCATTGTAATGTTTCCATGCAAAGACGACAGAAAATGTTAAAAGTTATAATAATATATTATTTTCAAAATTCTGGAGTGTATTTAAGTAGAAGCATGAGATCAAAAGATATTTAAAAGGTACAAATACCCTTTATCTGGTTCTCAGTGATGCTTAACATAACCAGTCCACTGACTTTTTATACTGTATGGGTAAAACCTAATTGAAGTATTGAATAGTGAGTTATATTAGAAAAATGGGCTAAGATACATTTATACAAAATATTTCACTGAAAAAAAAATCAGATCTGATCAATGCTTGGTATAATTCTTCAATGCTGAGATAACAATACTTTGACTACTCAATTCAAGCATTAAGTCTTTAGAAGCTTAGATGAAGTAACTTTGACAAGTCAAATATTATCCATACATGTTAATATATCAATGCCTTAATGACTCAGTTCAGGTATTATTAAGTCTTCATATACTTGGATGAAGCTATTTTGACAACTGAAATGTAATCTTTAGATGTTAAGATAACCTATATCTTGACAACTCAACTCCTGTATTATTAAATCTAATCAAAAACATCTGAGGTGTCAAAAAAAAGGTGCAACCCAACATGGATTAAGCATGTGACTTACAAGAATGAAATCAAAATTAGCAGCCAAACTGGTAGCTACACTTATAGCATTGATAAAAATTTTACAGCAAATATTCATTCATTATGAATCTAAGTTACAAATGGACAGCGACTGCCTGTTGTAGAAACGTACAAATGTACAGGACAATGTTTCGAAGTCTTCAAGAGGAAGACTTTCGAAATGTCGTCCTCTACATTTGTAGGTTTCTACAACAGGCAGTTGCCATCCATTTGAAACTTAGATTCATTATGAATACTCTGCCTAAACAACCTATCAAAGATTCATTCATTAGTTAGCCAGGTTGCATTTTTTGTTCAACTTAGGGCATGATGGTGGGTAAAACAAAATACGTGGCCTAGCTAACTAATGAATGAATATTTGCTGTAAAATTCTTATCAATGCAATAAGTGTAGCTACCAGGTTAACCTCCAATTTTTATTTCATTTCGTTAACTCTTTCAGCACAGACTCGGTCCCTCGGACCGACCTCGTAACCATTTTGTGATTGTTATAGTTTACATGCTATAACTTTTAAATTAGTAAGTGTATGTTAATGAAATCTGACAGATTATCAGTAAACATTACAATGCTTTCATAAGCAAAATATCAAATTCTTTCATTAAGTGTTAAGATTTGTAAAGCAATGTTTTTTAATGTCTTTTTCTTTTTGCATGTTGCCTATCTATCATGCAAAGTGATATTCATTTTAAGATTAAAAATATTTTTATGCATCAGAAAATTTTTAAAGTTTATATGCAAAATCTTTATAATGTCCAGATTATCAATTCTTTCTTAAGAAAAAACTTTGTATTTTATCTGTTATTTTCAGTAATTAATCTCTGTACAGGTTTGGTAGATTTGACAAATCAGCAACCACCATAAAAAAATTGGGAAATAAATATAAGTTATTTCATTCTATAATGAACACAAATTATAACACGAAAACATAAATGTTTAGACTAAATAGCTTAAATCTCATAACATTATACATTTATATATATATTTATTATATTG